GATTGGTTCGTGAAATACAAGTCGAATCTCATGAAAAAACACCTATTGAAACCAGTGCGAATAGATGCAGGTTTGGGCAACCCACCTAGTCGCTATGTGTCCAACAGAGTTGAGTGCGTCAACAGTCTTTTAAAGCGAGAAACGGAACGCAAAGAATCCCCGGTCGACCAGTTCGTGAAAACAATGCAAGGTACTGTATGATTAAATAGTAATTTCACTAAATAGGCCTTTCCGGTAATTACGGCTATCATTGTTTTAAACTTAGGACCACTTTAAATGTAATGGAGTAGCCTGCTACGAAGCTAGAAATACCGCCTGCCCAGAAACTACACATTAATTCTGAGTTCCGCCCACCGAACACATGGTCCCGCCCATCTTTACAGTAATAATGTCATAATGTATTTAATTTAATTATTTGTCAAACTCACGTATTTGCACCAGTGCAAATATCCGGCTTTCACGTTTCATATCTTCGGTTCATTCAATGCTATGAAAACAAAAATACCACGTTCGATTCAGTGTAACAATATGTCCTCATTCATAGCGATAGTTTTAGTCGATGTCAACATTATAGCGACTTATGAGCTTTGAAAGTCAAGCGAGTTCGTGTATTATCAAATTACGCAATTGTCTGAACAAAAATATAGACTAGCCATACCTTTCGCCGAACATAACTTCGGCCGTTACTTTGTTCCAATCGCTATCAAAAACACTACTTAGAGTGTCATTTACGAGCCTGTATCTTCAAGTCTGCACTTTTATCACGGTATCACATCTATCAAGCAACACAGTGTTGGATTGATATTCGTTATTCATTCTTCAGGAGGAAGCGATTTCCGATTCCAGATGAAGATTAAAGAATTCAACGCTTAATTCTCAAATAATACATTCGTTATTTTTTGGTTAGTGTATGCCATCACTCGATATATCGGTATCAATTTACGAAAATAACAAGGTTTATAAATATACCGCAACAGTAACTTCTAAAATTGGCACTAATTATTCTAATTCTTTCCTCCTGTCAATCAAAAATTCAAAATCAACATATTCTGACCAATCTGAATGCTCCGGCAGGTTTTTAGCCAATCACGTATTTTCAGTCCACCAGTGGACTGGCAAACGAAATCATATAGAAACCCGGCAGACGGTTTTTCTCGCCCTCCCGCCTAACTTTTCCCGCCCTATTTTTCCCCGCCCGCAACCTCCCCTAAAAACCGTCTGCTACGCAGGCTAGGAATGGAGCAAAACATTCTTCTTCAACGCTAGTTGTGACGTAATTACCGGAAAGGTCTATTGCTCTGTTAGTGCAAGTCTCCAGAGCATTATATCAGTTTATAACATTATACATTTGGGGCAAGAAAAAAATATGGGAGAGCCGAAAGAACGCCTACCAATTGTGTTCAATTGACAACACTAGAACTTGCTTACGCCAGCAGTTCTGTATAGTTTTTCTTGGGGGGGGGGATTAAAAATCTCGTACTCGATGTAGTACTTTCGGTAGTGTAACAGCATTTTTATTATTCTTGCTTGCATTAATTGTAGATATGATTGAACGCCAGTCTCGGAATGTGGAGTGGGCTATCATAGATAAAGGTCCATTTCAATTGCACCCTTCCTTAAATCATTTTATCCTTCCTGCTGAAGTATGGCTTTCAATGGAAGTCAATGAGAAAGAATCTTATATAAAAAGGGTTATGAGCAGTTCTGTAACAGATACTGTTTCGGAAGATTACCAGGAGACTGCTTGTTTCCCAAGCAAACTTATTCCAGAAGGTCTTCCACCAGAACCTTTCCCAGACGATATTTCAACCGAACCTATCCCATATGATTTTCCAACAGAATTTGACCAAGTACATTTTCTATCTCCTCTTGATGTTCTGGCAAATGCTGCATTATCCGATTCAGTCCAAGATACTACAGGAGCACGTGTGTCAAATATGTCTCTGACATTTTCTGAATTCCGTGTCTACCTTCATGGACAGCCCCAAGAAACGGTGAGGGGTATGTGGGATAAAGCAGTACAACTTGTTTCATCGCCAGGAAAGATGTCACCTGCCCCAGGTTGCGCCCCAACCTCGAGAATGGTAGCAAGCCATCGGTTCACGGACCGGCCACATCTCGTCACGAAGGGGAAGGCAAAAGATGAATACAAATGCGAAAAAAGCTGTCCTCACTGGAATGGGATAAAGATCTGCTGGAGATTTATCGAAATTTCTCGTGTGGTACAAGCAGAAAAGAAGTGCCAAAGCAGCAAATTTGTCCGCGGTTGTGCGTACAGACATGCCACAACATCCCGGAAAAAAAGGCGGTGTACCTGTTACATCAAGAAGAGCAACTCCTAAACTACCCGTTGATGCACGACGAAAGCGCACATACAGTAAATCTACTGAAAGTTCGTCTACTGTAACAGAGGTACCAAATACAAACCCATTCTACGTTAAAAAGATGAACATTCGAATTGAAGTATGCCAAGGATGCAGGGGTCCTCTGAAGTCGGCAGGGAAAGAAATTCAGCCCCCGCCGTTCGATTACTGTATTGCGAGGAGGGAAAGACGACCATACAGGGGTGACAATGGCCAACTGAAAACTCCATCCCGACAGTCAGATGCACATTATCACCTGCGAGCAGCATGCGTTAAAGCTGCAGAAACGTCATTTGTAACATCTTCTCTTGTGATACCGACGACATCCAGCTAACAGAAGTTCATGAATGCTATCTCGTCCATGAGTTTGGGCTCAATTTCGTTGCGAGATAGAGACATCGAATTCAAGACTTTGTTATAACATATATGACGTTTGGCTGACATATGACAATATATCCTTTACAGAATAAAATAGGGATTTTTACTTGTTGTTTACGTTACGTTGTGACACAACGTTGTTGTGTTATGTTATGTTTCAGTGACCTACTCAGTAGCCTACTCTGTAGGCTTACAGTAGGCTACTGTAATATTGTCGGTTTCAGGTCACGTTTCAAAACGCGGTTCCGGTTTGTTGTGAATATTCCCATTCAACTTTTTAAATTTGGAATATTGAGCGTGGAATTACAATTTAAGTTGCTTACTCAAATACCGAAGTACTGAACTGGAATACCGACGTAGCGATCTTAAACTCGTAATTTGCAGTGTTTTACTTATATAGCCAACGAATTAAACGTATTTCTCAAGACTTGATAAATAATTGGGAATTACCAACAAACAAACTAGGGAACCACGCTTCGAGAGGTGATCTGAAATCCACAATAACTAGTGTATTGTTTACATTTACTTAATTCAAATTCACGTCGAGACTTTAATTTAAATTAATCAGCGAATCCTGGTAGAATATAACTGGGATATTAGTTTTATTCACACGAATATAATATTATGTATTCCTTCGAGGAAAACAACTTATGAGATGTCTCACAAGAAAATGCTTAGCAACAACTCGTAATGCAAGTCGTTGCCGACCCAATCGAATTTCAAGTAACACCATTTACATGGTGAAACGTCGCCAAACATTGTCTTCACAGCAAAAAATCGTTTTCTTATTTCAAGAAAAAAAAAACTTGTTTCAAGAAATATTTTCTTAAAACAAGAATTTTTTACTAGGGAGAATAGCGAGAAATATTTTCTAACTAAGAAAATATTTCTTAAAATATTTCTTAAAATAAGAAAACACATTTTCTTGTTTTAAGAAAAATATATCTCATTTCAAGAAAATAATGAAACATTTTTCTAGTGCACTTTTTCTTAAAATAAGAAATTTTTTTAGAACTAGAAAATTTTTCTTAAATTAAGAAAACTTTTCTTAAATAATAAGAAATTAAATCTTAAATTAAGAAAATATAACTTGTTTTAAGAAAATATTTCTCAAAACAAGAAATTTTTTACTAGGGAGAATAGCGAGAAAAAAATTCTAATTAAGAAAATATTTCTAGATGAATAATTTTCTTGTTTTAAGAAAATATATCTTATTTTAAGATTAACTTTCTTAAAACTAGATACTTTTGACTACATAAAAAATAAGATAAATTTACACCTAACATTCTCAGTTTAAGAAAAAAACTCTCATTCTAAGAAAATAACTTGTATATTTACTGAAATTATAGTAGTCCTGATAGCACAGCAATGTGTTGTAGTGAATTGAGTTTCTCCCAGGGTTTTTTCCAGGATTTTCTCTTGGGTCCGTTTTTGCAGAGAAGATTGAGTTTAGCTGAACAGTTGGGGTGGCTGCACCGGCCCCCCGCCTACCGGTGGGCTGAAACCTGTACTCAATAAATGTAATTGAGACGGAATGTGTTAAAACAGGGACACTATAAACTGGTTAAAGATGGCTTGTCGGGCTTCCAACTGAAAACTAATTTCCACACGCCACAACATTTTATAACTCAAACAACTTCATTTTTACTGCACTGAAACTTTGGTGAGAAGATTGAGTTTCAAAACTCAATTCAAGATCGAGTTTTTGGGGCTGTTTAAAGGGCCCTAAAAAATCCCTGAAAAAACCCTGGTTTCTCCTGAAGTCATATTTTGTTTTTTAACATTTTGTCCATTTCACAATCAATATTATCTATACCATTGTTCATTCACCAAATCCATTGATTTCCTCATGTACATTTAATTAATACTGTTCCAAACACAGCATGCAATTGCCATCAAAGATCCATCATCTTAGAATCTGTAAAAGGAAAATTTTACTTATTGAAAATGTAATCATTACTTTATACAAAATATGCCAGAACAATGACCTTGAGACTTATCATTAACCTACAGTGTAAAAGGGACTACTAACTGTGGATGTAATACACAGCCTTTATTTAACCAATAACAAAGCCAGTTCATATTTCATTTGTATGTACAAGGTGATGCAGGGTGTGACAAATATACATATGTTGTTAACCAGAGACAGGCATTCTCCAGACCTGTACACAGTAGACCAGGGTTTTTTTCAGGGATTTTTTAGGGCCGTTAAACGGGCCCAAAAATTCAATCTTGAATTGAGTTTTGAAACTCAATCTTCTCACCAAAGTTTCAGTACAGTAAAAATGAAGTTGTTTGAGTTATAAAATTTTGTGACGTGTGGAAATTAGTTTCAGTTGGAAGCCCGACAATTAAGAAAAAATGGCTGGAATTCATCTTGCAACACAAGAAAAACTATGCATTCGCCATCTTTAACCAGTTTATAGTGTCCCATAGTGCCCCTGCTTTAACACATTCCATCTCAACTACATTTATTGAGCATAGGTGTCAGCCTCCCGCGGTAGGGGGGAGGGGGTGCAGCCACCCCAGCTGTTCAGCTAAACTCAATCTTCTCTGCAAAAATGGACCCAAGAGAAAGTCCTGAAAAAAAACCCTGTAGACTACTATCTGGTGCCATAATAGGTATCTGGGCACCACCCGCTACCATCTGGTATTAGGCAAACCACCATCTGGCGCAACTTCTTCTGGCAAAGACCTTGGACCCATGTTATTTTAAAAAGTAATAACCAATAATCACTATTAATCAGCAAGCTTAGTTTCACCAGACACTAAATTTTGTTGCATCATACTTTATTATTTTACTCTGTCTAACACCAGATAACTTTACTTGTCAAGGGGAAAGCAGTCGTGCTCAATGGGTTAATCAGACTATCTGCCCATGTGTCAAATTAACCATTTAGTTGCATTTTGCACTACTGTCTAATAATTATTAGTTAGCCAAGTAGATTATGTCAATTAATTTATGATCTGTCATGCAACAGTTCCAGTTTAAAGGGGGATATATCTTGTGGACTAAATATGATACTCAACTGACTGTCTTCTCTTAAATAACTTTAATTCATTATACAGTTAGCATCACTGTAGTGAGTGCAGTAACATTACATTAACCCTTTAAGTACCAATGCACCAAGATGCGCCCTACTTTATTACTTTACTCTGTCTAATGCCAGACGATTTAACTTGTCAGGGACTCAGGGGAAGAGTGCTGCCACTAATTGGGTTAATACATCAGGACCCTGGACATGTACAATTGTTTGGTATTGAGATAGCAAGATTAATCTAGTAGGGCGTAAAAAAATACCTGTGGTTCCGGTTTCATATCGCAAAAAAAATTGGGTTGGTAGGTCGGAAATAATTTTTTTTTAATATTTTTTCATGGATTTTTCAATAATTAGTGTGACAACAGATGTCATTTGGCAGCAGCCCGCAACCATCTGGAGAAAATAGGGTCACACAGTCAATCACTTTGAAAAAAATAGGGTCGATCGGGAACCGGAACCACAGGTATTTTTTACACCTAGTATGGCACAGATAAAATTGGTACCTGTATCAAATTTATCCATGCTCGGCCTGTGTGAATAGGAGTAGTCGAAGCATGGTATACATGTTACGGATACCAAAATTGAATACAGTGCCAACAGGCTTTACAATGGGCTGCATTGGGGGTAGATTTAGGATTCACATGTAATTGTGTTGTTAATATTTACTAAATTTTTAATGCAGTATCAAGAATGTAATAATTCCTACAAACAAGGTCCTTACATGGGCTGTTTACAAGATCAAGGCTGATTCGTCTGGCTGGACAGACTTGCAAGTGCCGAGATGGTCTTGTACAACCACCTGGAGAAAATAGGGTCACACGGTCAATCACGTTGAAAAAATAATAGGGTAGGCACGAAAAATAGGGTCGGTCGGGAACCGGAACCACAGGTATTTTTTTCCGCCTTAAAACAAATATCGCTTTCCCACCATATACTAGAAATACATGCATGCAATAACCCCTCGCCTGTTTTCAAAAGATGTATACTCAGTGCCGTTGCGAGCACTTCGTCTCAGGGTGTGTGTGAGGTTAGATAGAGGGGGGTAGGGGGGTGACCAAAATGTTTCCAGATGTACAAAAAATTTTCAGGACATATAATAATTTTTCCGAAAATACAGTTGTTTTCCAAATTCACTTTCTCATGTCCTGAGAATTACCTGAATTCTCCTGAAAATCTTCTGCAAATCTACTTAATTTTACCTAACAGTGCACTGGAAATCTACCTGAAATTCCTTATGAGCAATTATCAGGGGTGTTGCACCCCCCCCCCCCAGTGAGTTCCAAGCAAACACTCTGTGATTTATTGTTCCTGTATTTCACCTCCCAAAATATTGTGCATCATACTATACAGCATTTTGCTGTTGTCATGCTTTAGCATGGTTCAAATTTATGAATTTTTATTATATAAAGTATAGTGTTTTACAGAGATTTCAAGCACTGATAAAAATGATAATCTCACATGTGAAATTATTCATGATAATCTCACATGTGAAAATT